TCTCACTACAATATATATTATATATATATATATATATAATACACATATAGCAATAAAGAAAATTTCATTTATACAGTACTGTTTAAAATAGCTTCATCACTATTTTATACATAGTATATCTGTCTAATCAGAAAAAAATATTCAGCATCTTACACCATTAGATAATTTATTTCTTAATAATTATTAGCCAATAATCTGTCAGTAAAAATAGGCAGACTAGGATACCTAAACAAAAAAACAAAACAAAAAAAAAAAACTAAACAGTTTTGCACATTATATAATTAAGCTATTCTTTTCAACATTCATAAGCTGAAACAAGGTATTGTTCCAATTTAAAAGATAAACCAGTACAAGAAGCAGCACTGAGCAACTTGAAAGAAATTAAAAATTTGACAATTTCAGTTATAAATTATTACAACACTTATCTGTGCCTAAGATGTTCACCGAGCCAAAATGAAATTCTATACTGGATTAAAATATTCAATAGTTACAGCAGTGATGTGAAGGTTTTCTTAAGAATGCAACTACATTAGACAATTATTCTACACCTCCAGAAAATATTCAAATAAAACAAGTGTTTAAAAATTAATTAAGAATAGGCACGGCATTTTCCTCAAATTTAAAAATGCATTTATTTTATATTTGTCGATAACAGTAAAACTTAATTTATAAAACTGTTAAAAATATCAACTAGAGAAATAACACTTAAGATTTATTGAAACAAAAAATAAATATCATTAATACGAAATTTTAATTATCCCATTGAAGTCTGCAAACTTGGAATGTACACCATTAAATTATTGACCCAATTTTAAAATGAAATTTTTATGGTTATTCTCAGTCTTCACATAAATAGTATATTAAAAGCAATGCTTAAAATTAAAATATTATGTTAAATCTGATTCTTATTAAAATTATTAATAACATCATCATCAACTCATAAGTTAATACAAGATTTAAAAGATGTCATTTTTTTTTTTCATACATATCATTAAATTCTTGTTGTGCTTCTGTTATATGTTTGACAAAGTATTTCAACAACACAAGCTGTTTACAGTACATTTTAATACAGAAACACATTTCAGTGCAACATCAACAACTGTTAAACTTGTGCTTGAAAGAATATAAAAAATGCATAAAAAGTACATATCATGAAAACATTCATTAACACAAGTAATTAGAGTTACTTCACAATAATCTTTCTAGAGCTGAATTTAAGCTGCAAATGAGCATTGCAAATTATAAGGTAATTACATAGACAAATCTGTAGTATAAAAAAGACAGTGGATTAATTTCATAATAGTATCACTTATAGCATATAAATTCATCTACACATAAGACAGATTTTTAAATAAAAAGAGTACAAAGTCCGTAATCCGGACACCCATTATCCGGAATGATCTATAATCCAGACCTCAAAGCCACAAACTTTTTTTTTTGTATGTTTTACACATACACCTAAAGAATGCACATACATTACGCACCCTATACTTCCACAATTATAACACTTTGGTTCGTTAATCTTATTAGGTGATTCTCAGAGTTCACTCACAGACTTGTAGCGTGAAAGTGCTCTTGCTCCTCGCTCTTGATTTTGCACTGAATCGAACTGCTATTGACTTGACTTAGCTCGCAGAAGGTTGGCATGCTGACGCGCAATGAACTGGAAGTTGATCTGTCAGCCCTATCCTCACCTTCAGGGCAGATGTTTTTATTTTATTCGGCTTATAATTCCTAAGTGTAGCATTTCATCTTGATGTACTTCATCTTTGATATGATTTAAATAAATTTCCACGTCATTATAAATATCACAAATATACATCAAATAGTTTCCAGGTTGCAATTTTCTAATTTCGACTATGAGTAATGTATGCTTTACCCAAGCGTGCTTTGAAAGAAATGTTTAATAAAGTAAACAAATAAATATTCAGCTTCTTTTTTAAAAAAATTTGATACCCTTTAGATCATAATTGCTCTTTATTTCATAAATTACGGTTTCATATTTTTAATTGTATAATTTCTGCATGCCATCTTACCAGGTTTAAATTGATGATCTTTAATTCAGAAAAACCCCTAATCCGGAATCGCCGAAGTCCGACGAGTCCGGATTACAGACTTTGTACTGTATAAAAACCCAAAGCACGATTTAAATATATTTACAACTAGTATCACATTAAAATTTGACACAAAGCACAACTATAAATACATTACAGTTTATAAAAAATTTTATCAACAATGAGTAAACTACCTGATGACTGACTTGAACCTGTTACAAAACCATCATCGGTTAGAGTAGACTAAAGGGTACCCCTTGTATTATTGCGAAAATGTTTCATTTATCGCCAAGTTGTTGTTTCATTTATCACCAAGCATTGTTTTATTTATGGTAACCTGAGTAGTTGAATGTTCTGTAAATATACTTTTACCTAGAATTGGGTGCTCCTTTGACTTTTCAAGTGAAAATATATCGATGTATACATGGACAAAGTCCAGGGAGTGTGCAATGCCTAGTTTGAGCAATTCTGCGATTTTTTTTAAATGAAAATAGGTCAATGTGTACATGGACACCAAGTTTGTGCAATTCTTTGACTTGTTATTTTGTCTTTGTGTAGCGGTGATTTTTAATGCTAAAATCACCGCTACACAAAGCCAAAATAATAAGTCAAAGAATTGCACCAACTCGGTATCCATGTACTACCAAAAATCACCAATTTTTGTCAAGGGGTACCCGTAAATATACTTTTACTCCATCATTAATAAACCGTTTCAACTGAAATAGAAAGCAAACTATTAAAAGTAAGAAATGAAAAAATTCTACAGTAGCTAATGTAATTATAGTTTTGAATGGCTATATATAATACATTAAATGTATTTTTATAAAATTAATCTTCAGTATTCACAAAATGTTAATATAGTTACATAATTTAAAAGCTATAAAAAACAGCTGTTTAAATTAAAATCAAGAAATAATCTGAAAACAATTACTCAGACAATGTTAAAAAAGACTTACATTTTCAGAGATTATACATGCACACAATAAAGGAATCTTTCTAATTTATCATACCATAAAAATATTAAATTGCAATGCACAGGAAACTATGTAAAATGAAACTAATTCTGAACATAATCAAACTTTGATAAGTTAAATATAAAAAGAACAGAAAAACATTTCAAGAAATAAAAGGTTTGAGTGGCACAAGTTTTGCAACTTGTGCTTGAAAAATAATTAGGATTTTATGCACATATGCATAAAAATGAATTTATCAAAAATTTAAGTTTACATAAGAAAACTAAAATGTAAAAATTTTTCTTTACATAAGAAATGTTGAATCTCTTTTTAAATCAAGCATACAGTAGTTTAATTATGCAATGATATTTGAAAAATGCTGCATATAGCAGTTATGTAGCTACAGAGAAGGAGGCTTGTTTAGGGGGGGGATACATTTTTCATACAAGACATAATTTTATAAGGATTAGTCATGATTTGTTAGAACAAAGAAGGGTTAGAGTAGACTTTAAGGTACCCCTTGTATTATAGCGAAGTTGTTGTTTCATTTATTGCCAAGTTGTTGTGTCATTTATGGTAGCCTGAGTAGTTGAATGTTATGGAAACCCTATTGTGACGTAATTGGGTGCACGATTCTGGGAAATTTTGTAAGCGCTTTTGTGGTGTGTGTTAGTTTTATTGTTTAAACGGTAGAATGGCTGAATATAGTAAGATTAATGTGAAGTTCTGTACAATTTGGAACGAACGGGGAAAAGAGCGTTAATTGACTGGTGCCATTATAAGTGCCCTGTATGTAGGAAGGATATGCATCTAGTCGAATGTAAAAACTGTTTAGATGGATTTGAAAAGGTTTATAGAAAGAAAGGTTCAGATGTGGCGCCACCGATATTCGGATTTGAGTTCAGATAATTTTAGGAATTTTTTGTGCCACAGACTAAAGATGAAGAAACTTCTAAATAGGTAAGTGGTATTTGCTGACTGTAGTGCTTAAATGTATAACATGTTTTTCCTTATGTTATTTTATTGTTTAGTTTAAAATGTAGTTTATTGAGATTATGTATTTTTTGTTTGCCTGTATTGTAAAATTGGGTACTCCTTTGACTTTTTAAGTGAAAATATATCGATGTGTACATGGACAAAGGAAGTGTGCAATGCAAGTTTGTACAATTCTTGGACTTTTTTTTAAGTGAAAATAGATCGACATGTACATGGATAAAGTCAAGGGAGTGAGCAATGCCACTTTTGTGCAATTTGGGGATTTTTTTTTAAGTGAAAATAGGTCTATGTGTACATGGACACCGAGTTTGTGCAATTCTTTGTGTTGTCATTTTGGCTTTGTGTAGCGGCGATTTTTTGCTCAAAAATCATCGTTATGCAAGATGGTGATTTTTGAGCGAAAGTTAATAAGTCAAAGAATTGCACAAACTCGGTATACATGTACCGCCAAAAATTGCCAAGGGGTACCTTATAATATACTTTTACTCAAAGAAGAATTTATGATAACTGAAAAATTCTGATGCAACAACTATCTTATAAAGATTTTTATATTTGCATAGCATCCACACACTGAAATTTCAATAGCTTGATGTTTTAGTTATGCTTTCTCTACTCCAATTAATTTTTCAGTTAAAAATGTGAATGTCAACTAAATTATGATCCCAATGAGATTAATAAGAAATTAATAGTTCAGAGTTTTACTTCTGCTACTGTTAAGGAAGACAAACTAGAAACGTTAAAATCAGTCCCTTGAAATTTTGCAGCTTATTTAAATAAAAAGACTTCAGAAGATCCCTCCAAATATCGTAATACTACAGGAAATTTTTTCACAATTCCTGCAAATGATGTTCATTATAACAAATGTCAGACACTCTATTCTTTAAATAAAAATCAATGAAAAAATGCTTAAGACCTATGAATGAGTACCTTGCCTTTATGAAAGCTTACTATTATGTTTGTTTAACAGCAAACTTAATAAAGAAATAGCTTCTTAAAATGTCATCAAATGATTTTATTAACTGAAAACAAGCAGAGTAGTCTTTCAGAATGTTGGAATTTGACTTAAAAATAAACTCCCCACCCCTTATATGCTGCTTTACAAAATTATATTACAATAATACATAAGATATTTTGTAGCATTCCCCCCCCCAACATCTTGAGAGAACTGGCAAACTCATTATACCACCCTGAACATCAAAACCTCTGATTATGCAACTGGTGTATAACAGCTTGAAATCCCATGGAGAAATAATGTAAATGTTCTAATGGAGAATTAACATAGCATACATTCACTTCAAAGTAATAATTAACTATTAATTAAGTAATAACTTCAAAGTAATAAAAGTTTTAAAAAAAATTCTTTGCATATTGTCAAGTTAATTTTCCTTTCAACACCAGGTATATTACAAAAATTATTAATGTAAACAATGTAACAAAAATTACATTTTAAAACTTAAAGTACAGAATCATAAATAGCACAGGTTTGCTTATTCCAATCAAAATTTACACTCTATTTCAAAAACATATTTCAATTCTCTATGTATATTTTTACTCAAAAGAGAAAGAGTGCAGTTATTTGGAAGAAACCACAAAAATGTAAATTACCTCACACTTAAGGATTTTATGAAAATATCCTACACATCATGTCTGCTGTTTAAAGATTTATACACACGACTTATTGAGAAAGAAGCAATGCAAATAATTGACAATCATTCAAAAATAGTTTACCTAGCCAAATTTTAAAATAAATAAATAAATGAGAAATGTTAGTATTAACTTTTGATACATTTTGTCAAAAAGAAATATCCAGTTCAACCTGTAAAAAATTTTGAATTCTCAAAAGTTCAAGTAATCAGTTTCTGCTGTATCAAAATAGAATTAAAAAATACGGCTAAAGTGCAGAATAGCCCACTTGTTTGTTTGCTGCTTTATACAAGACTAAGAAGAATTGGATTTTAGTCAATTTTCTTTGACAGGTCGATGTGTACATGGATAAAGTCAAGGGAGTGCACAATGCCATTTTTGTGCAATTCTGGGAAAGTTTTTTCAAGTGAAAATAGGTCAATGTGTACATGTATACCGAGTATGTGCAATTCTTAAAAACGCACCAAGCAGTGGGTGATTCTGCACTTTCTCCAAAAATACATCTAATCACATATGAATCATAAATAATTTAATTTTTTACAAAACTAATATTAATAAAAAAATTGCAATAGTGCTAAAGTTAATAAAAATCATATTCTAAATCAAACATGGCTGTACAGCAATGTGCTATTCCACATAAATAAAATCTAAATATCTAATTTTTTGTTAGATTTCAGAAACGACGACATATATGTAAGATAGACACTCTTCATAATAAAGCTGGCCTTTAAACAAATTATTTTCATTTAAAGAATTACATATAACATGTAAGTATGAAGTTGAAGGTTATATTAAACATTTACACAAAATGGCCAAAGTATTAAGCACTGTGATTGATGGCTGTAAATGTATAAAGCATAAACTCTAATGAAAGACATTTTGGAACATATATCATAAAAGCAAGTCAAAAGGAAGACTTAGAACATAAAATAATGCCTCTAGCCAGCTAGAGTAATTATTTTTCATGAACAGATAAGAAATTCATGAATGTGTCACTCCTTTCCTTGCAACTAACATATTTAATACAGGATGTTTTTTAATATATTCAACAGCTTTACTGTGGGTTACCATAGTAAAATCATAACCATTAACCTGAAGAATTTTATCATGAATCTTCAAGCCACAATTTGCAGCAGGGCTATTTTCGCAGACTTCAGTAACATATATACCATTATCTTTATATCCTTGAGGACTTTTACGAAAATCCTGATCAATGCCCCCTCCTATTTTAAAACCACACTTTAAAACTTCTCGGCCTTCAGCATCAAGTCCAGGTTCCTTTGTAAGTTTTATTGGAATACTTAAACATTCAATAGCCATGCCAGGTTGATGTTCAAATGCCATTTTGGTAATGAAAAAGCAAATCCTTATCAACAAGCTATATAATCCTACAATACTTCTTTTCCTAAATCAACACACACAATATTCAAATAACACGAAATATTCTGATATAACGTTAATTACATCAAGGGTACAAGTCAGTAAACGTACATTTGTTGACAGTTGAATAAACGGCTTAGATGATTTAAAGGAAAATACAAGTTGTGTCCTTCATCAAAATCAATAAGAAATCATTAACCGTCAAATTACTTCGTCGGTCCAGCTTAACTTTAAATTGCTGAAAAAAAAAAAAAAAAAGTATAAAAACTAACAACTCTCTATAAAGAACATTTAATACAGCAAAAAGATAAGAGTAGTTAAAATATTTTTTAATGGAACATTCAGAACACTAAGCCTACTTTTACTATAACCGAAAAGTATATTATCAATTCAAAAATCAGATGACCCAAGTAATTCAAATTACCATTGATCACACTAAACTCCCATTCGGTGTCATCATCGTATCCATTCAGCACACTATTGCATCTCTACATGTTAAAAGATACACCCAAATAATCTGCAATGTAAATAGAACGCAGACCCACCATCTAAATCAGTTTTTAAAAAATCGATTATGCATTCACCTAATAAATTAAATCGATCAATTTTAAAAGCCCCAAAATGAAAGAAAAACTTATTTTCTACGTTTTCAAGAGCCTTCGTAAAACCATCCTTCACTGTTCTAAATATAATTTTGCTTAAGCGGAAGTTAGTGAGTTTGACGCTTGAAGCGAGTTTTAAGCTGTACGAAGATTTTTATTTTTCAGTTTTATTGGTTTTTAAATTTTATTCAAGATATTCTTGTAACCAGACATCACAGATTTTATTTTATTCCATAAATACAAAAAGAACTTTTCAAATATTTGCTAGTTTGATACAAAGGTCATGCCCCCATCCATAATAAAAACGTCACTATTTATGTTTTTGATTTGGCAACACTTAATAAACAGTAAATAAATCCCCTGGAGTCAGGTATTATTACGCTTTCTGAAATAACTGAAATTTTTGTTGTCCCTTTCTCTCTTTTTCCTCCCTCTCACTCCATCTAATTTTGCTTGAGAAAAATAATAATAACAGTTCTATCGACAGTGGTAATATAATGTGAACCAAACTTAATATGTTATATTTTTGGAAAATCGTTATAGCTGTATAATGTTTAAATATCAGACTTAATATTTTAACTGTTAACTTTTTTTTTTTTGCTGTAGTGTAGAATTGGGTGCTTCTTCGATTAGCCACAAATTTTGTTCAATTATGGCTATGAAACCCCATTTCTGGTTACCATGATAGTTTAAACTTTGTTTTAGCTCCTGATTTTTGTAAGTGAAAATAGATCGATGTGTACATGGACACAGAGTTTGTGCAATTCTTGTTTTTTTTTTTATTTTGGTTTTGTGTAACGGCCAATTGAAATTGTGCCTTCCTGGCGCCCATCTTGGCGTCAAAAAAAGAACGGCTAAAAAAACAAGAGGCACTCAATTGTAAATTTTTACTGCACCAAACAAATAAGTGAGCGATTGCAAAATCGCTCACTTATTTGTTTGGTGCTTTTTACAAAAGTAAGAAGATTTTAATTTTTGTCAATTTCCTTTGCCTTTTTAAGTGAAAATAGGTTGATGTGTACATGGATAAAGGGAGTGCGCAATGCCATTTTTGTGCAATTCTGGGATGTTTTTTTAAGTGAAAATAGGTCGATGTGTACATGGATACCTAGTATGTACAATTCTTAAAAATGCACCAAGCAGTGCACAGCATTCTGCACTTTTCTCCTTTTACCTTTTGTTTTAATTATTAGTGCCAAGTTTTAAGTCAAACGGGACTCTGTGAAGAGAACACATCGTAATTGTATGTATATATATATTTTAATGTAGCATTTCTCTTTTCAGTTTTTTAAACTTGTTTAAGAAATAATTCTTCCAACATTACATTCACTTTACAGAAGAACCATTTACAACGACCATCCCTAAAAATTATCAGTTATTATTATTATTATTGTCAGTATTTCTGACAAAAAAGTTAGTAACGAATGGTTTATCAACATTGCCTTCACCACACAAAATCAAAATCGTGTGCAGCAGGGAGCTGGAAATGATTTGTCGAGCAACAATTTGATTTTACAGTGAAATACATTATAAAAATGCCATGTAAATTAGGAATCAAATAAAAAAAATACATGTCATATGAAAGGATTCCTTCAATTCTTTAAGAAATGTTTTCCTGGGGGGTATCATGAGGAGATTTTGCTCTATGTAAAACTTCAAAATAATATTTTTAATTCATGATAAACAATGGAATCATTTACTGATATATGGCCTATCAAGTGTGGGGAACCCTTTTTACTGTGATATGCAAAATCAAATGGCTAATCTTTGGAATATGGTAACAGGTAGTTTGACGACATTTTGGTAAGGTGATAAAGGTTACTAGCTAGGACTTAAACAGTGTACATAGATAAAGTTAAGAGTGTGCGCAATGCCATTTTTGTGCAATTCTGGGATGTTTTTTAAGTATAAATAGGTCGACGTGTACATGGATACCGTGTATGTGCAATTCTTAAAAACGTGGTAAGCAGTTTGCGATTCTGCACTTTCTCCCAATTTCGCACCTAATCTTCGTCATGATTAAGCACTTTTGTTCCATAAAAGTTCTAGCATAAGCATAATTCGGCTAGCAGATTGTTGGAAAAAAAATGTTGAGTAAAAAAAAAACATGCCTTTACTTCGTGAAAACAAAATGGCATCCAAAGAAAAACTAGCAGGGTTGGTTTGCCAAAATCGCCTAGTTACCATAATCAAAAGATTAACCAATTAAACTTCCAACAGCAAGGCTAAAGGCCATGCGAGTTAATAACATCTTATTCGTAATTTTTCCACAATTATTAAATTGTAAAAACAGAAGTACAAAAAAAATTGAATTTATATGCACATAAGAACATGAAAATATCGGGTAATTGTTTAGTTGACATGTATAAATGTAATTCAATGCAGCTTTTTCATTTCTTTGTTGTGTGAAATTTGTCTCCAGCTTCATAACTCATAGTTTGAGTTCTTCTCAATGAATCAGTGATCTATGATCTTAAGTGATTTTTAACTTGTGTAATGTATTGTAATGTATGAAAATGTTGATTTGTAGGAATAAATAATTCCAAATCGGGAAAGCAAATGCCGTATATCATCACGTAAGGTTGGGTGTTTAGCTGCATGGAAGTTTTGACATCAGAAAGAGATTTAATAATCTTCTATCAGTAGATTCCGTTTGCTGTTTCATGTGTGCTTTTGAGACATTGATCAGATGTGGTTCAAAAGCTAGTTGCATGGTTAGAGTAGGTTCTTCAAAATCTGAAAATTCATCCAGATGTTTTTCAGTTGAAAAGACAGCTACATAATTACTTAAGTTTTTATGTTGATATTTCTTCTCGTTTAACATTTTTGGTAGTAGCAGGAAATGTTCTTCAAATATATCCATGCAAGAGAGTAAAATTTTGAAAAATGTCAACTTCTTTTGAAAGACTTGGTTTCTTTGTTATATTTATGCTTTGTTTAACCTTGCAATGAAATAGTTAAATCATTTTATTTTATCATTATATCTGATAATAAATACAGCATTTCTGCAAAATTCTTCATCCAATAATTCGCATAGTATTTTTTTTTTTTTTTTTTGGCTGTTTTTAGAATTCCCCTTCCCCCCCCCCTCCATAAATTAATAACTTTATTGGAAATTTGTTCCTTTAATAGTCTTTGGAATAACAGGACAAATCAAAAACTGCATGTTTTATCATCTAATATAAGCATGCTTCGGAATTCACAATGCCACATTGCATTCACTTGAATAAAGTTGGCAGTTTCAACTTTATCCATCACAGTATCTTGCAAAATAGCTGCTTCAGCTATTTTGCTGATTTAATATACAATAGAATGACCTTAACTTTTTTTAATTTGTACTTTGTTTTTTAATAAAGAAACAAATTATTATTATTTTTTTTAATAAAAGGGGCAAATATTGATCAAATAAGTAAGCTTGATGCTTGATGATGACAAATAAGTAAGATTGATGGTCAAATAAGTAAGATTGTTCTGATTGATGACATAATTTTTGAAGTTGTTAAAAACCTTTCTAAAAAATTCCACAATTTCTTTTGTAAGTGTACTCAATGCAAGCAGTTTCTGATATAAAGGAAGTCTTTAGTAATAGTTTAGTGTACTAGAAGATATAGTGGAAATATTGGCCTTATTTTTGGTAATTGAATTTTGACATTCCTCTAGATGGCGCTGTGATTGCATGTGTCCCAGTGTAATTTCATTTCCTTTTAAAAGGTGCAAATATTAATAAATGCCTTTCACACGAAATTGTTCTCTTCTTTCTAAGTAATATATTTATTTAATTTTATGGCACCTTTAAGCATCCTGCAGAAGTTTGTTTGTTGCTGTTTTTTAGTATTTTTTCCACTATATATTATAGAAGTTCTATATTTTTAATGCTCATCTTTAGATTGATTCATGCTAATTTTAATATTTCTGGTAATAATAATTTTCATTTCATAGAGAAAAGTAGAATTAACTTTTTAAATAGTAACAAAAATTTAGGAAGCTGACTAATTATATTTTTTATTACCTTTCTAAGTTTGCCATTTCCTAAATATTATTTTTGAATATTTAAAATTTGAATTTCGGCCTTAAACAAATTTGTTGGCAAAATGGTACATCTATATTAAAAATTTCATGAACACTTTTTATATGTCCCAAACACGTTTTTGAAGTAATAAGCATTAAAATTTGTTCTGTAAAGAATTTTTTATTATTATTTCCAATGGCAAGGCAAAAAATAACAAAGAACTAAAAACATACAAAAAAAAAGATTACAAACAATAGAACTAAGACCAAAAAGATTGAAGTCATTTCCTAAGGAGTGCTCTTGCCTCCCAGTATCTCAACTCCTTTGTAAGACTGTAAAGAGCCCCACATTGAATCAGGTGGTCACTCTCCATATTTTCTCCAGAATCACAAAGTGGGCAAATAGGATCACTTGAAATGCTTATGCAATGCAGGTGGGCGGCAAGTCAATCATGTCCTGTAGACAGACAGAAATCCGCAACTGCATGGTGTCTTGGACTATCGGGAATAAGAAAAGAACTTATCATTCTCCGACTTTTTAAAGCTGTACAAGTTGAGGAAACAAAAATTTCATGAGGCAAATCATTACATAAACCTGAAGCAATACTTACCATATTTATGAATATTCAATTAATCTTGTGCTATTCAGAACTAATGATCAGCTGTAATCACCAAAATAGCAAAAGATTTCATTACATCTTGTGATAAAGTCGCATAAATCTACGACGAATGATTTCAAATTGCAAATTCAGAGTGCAATATACGTGATGAAATCACAGGACTAAATATAATTATTTAATTGTTATTAAAATAATATTAAGTTGTAAAAAATAGTTGTTATTAAAATAATATTAAATTGCTGGCAATGTTAAAAACGCAGGCTCGAGAGCCACATATGGCTCTCGCACGATTGATGTATAGAATTTGATTTTTGAAAAAGATAGGTTTTTTTTTCCTCTTCAGAATTGTATGTAGCCATTTATTTAGCATTCAATAAATTTTTTATGCTGTGTTTTGTTTTCAACCTGATGTCACAACCCAGGGTTTGCATAGCGGTTTCGGCCACTACACCACAGCAGTAAATATTAAAAGTTGGTGGCAGCTTTTAGGGATTGTACCTGAGAGTAAATTTAGGAACGGACTTTTTTGCCTGTGAACATTGAGTTTTATGTGAACAGTCAAAACTTTCTTCTCTTCAAGAACGATCTAATTTTGTGTGCAAGGACAGTTCGCGTGGTGAAGCCTCTTCAGTGACAAGTGACAGTGTGTCAGAAGGGAACACCGGAGGAAGTGTGATCTAGTGCCGCAAAATAGTGAAATTTCCCGGAAGAATATCCAAGTAATGCCAGGAGAGTCAATCGAAGGCGTCTTCAAAATTGGTGAGTACCATTTTTGTGATTTTGGAGAAGTTATGCTAGTTATTCGAGACTAGGCTTATTTTGGATATAGAGCAGGAAAAGGTTGCCTCTTAATTAGCATTT